CATCTTCCTCTCCTGAGACCCTCCACACATCTTCCTCTCCTGAGACCCTCCACACATCTTCCTCTCCTGAGACCCTCTGCCCAAGATATTAGGCCAGCACCCTGGAGCAGAGGGGTGGCACAGAGTATGTAGCAGTATATATAATATTATTCTGCATTGCTGTATAATGTATTGCTGGGATTTGTAGTCCTCTATGGCTGGTGGTATTCTGCTTTCGCTGCTGATACAGATATTGATTTTCTCCAAGCCGACCGATATTTGTATTTTGTGTTGCAGAACTCATGAAGTCCGGGGGGATCTGCGTTATTCCTGTGGATCTGGGTTACGCCGTTGCATCGTCCTGTTATTTCTCAGACTCGGTACAGAAGGTGTCCAAGTAAGTAAAGTTTTGCCCTTGTAACCTGATGTTGTCATGGGTGACGGGGGTCTGCTATATCGCCGGACAGTCCGGCATCATGGACCAGGTCCTGGCACGCTGGCCCCGGGCCAACGAAATGTGCTCCAGTTGCGGTTTATATCTACTGAGATATTTTGATCTAGAACAGCGGTCGCCAACCGGTGGTCCTCGAGAAAATGTTGCTGGTCCCCGGGCCCCTCTGATGTCGTGCAGGCTGGGCCGCCATTGAAGAGGCACGGAGGCTCCGGGGCTGCCTCTCACTGACTCAAGCAGCGGCTGTCGCAAGGAATACGCGGCTCTCAGTACAGTGCGGGCTCTGCAGGAGGCGGGGCATCTCGTCAGTACCTGGACTGAGCAGGCTGCTGGACATAGAAAAAGTGTGGAGAAGCCAGGTAATAGTGGCTCAGTGTGGGGGAAGGGGAAGCACAGGGGTGGTTGGGGGCAGTGCTGAAGCTAGGGAGGGCATGTGCCAATACTAGTATCAATATCGGTGCCGTACTCGCCCAAATGCTCCGATGCCTAGCCCGATACTTCCCTTATTAGCTGGCTTCCATGATTGGCCAGCAAGACGGCACCGGCTGGGTACCAGAGGAAGGCCGCTCCTGTCTGGAGAGGCCCCGGGGGTGACAGGCTGGACATGCCGAGGTGGGAGGGGACAGACTTTCTTGTTAATCGGGAAGCCGAGTGGCGAGTCTTTACACGCCGCCCGGCTTCCTGAACGGGACTTCCGGTACTCTGTAATCGGCGAGTACCAAAAAAATTATTATCGGTACCTGTACTCGATACCAAAATACCGGTATTGGTGCATCCCTAGAATATCTATATATTTGTTAAAAATTCATATTAGTGGTCCGCGGGATTTAAAATGCTGAATTTCGTGGTCCATGAGGTCCGAGAGGTTGGCGACTGCTAATCTAGAGCTCCGCCCCTCCCGGAATTAAGAAAACGAGGTGAAAAATGTCTTCTGCTTGTGTTGTAGACTAGAAATGGAAGCCGAGGACGCCGAGATCTCAATTTTCATCAGCGGCTTCTCAGATCTCCGGGAAGAAAAATCTGTCCTCGGCAGACGTCTCCGGGGTCTCATCCTGGGCCTGGGGCCAAATCCTGTCGGCTTTGTACTTCCTAGAAAAGGTGAGTCCATAAGGAGGGCGCATCTTACATTTAAATACAAGGTCTGGTTATGTTTGACTTCAAACCCTTCAATTAAAAAAAAAAATTGTGAAAGCACAAAAAACAAATTGGAAGAAAAATGTAAAACAAAAATACTGATTTTACAGTAGACCATCCCTGGAAGAAAAAAAAAAAGACTAAAAAAACAAGTAAAAACAAAACACAAAATTGGAAGGAAATGTAAAAACAAATATTCATTTTACAGTAGACCATCCCTGGAATTAAAAAAACAAAAACAAAAAACGCTAAAAAGGCAAGTAATAGAAAAAATAATTATGGAAGGAAATGTAAAAAAAAGACTTATTTTACAGTAGTCCATCCCTGTAATTAAAAAAACTCTGAAAAAAAAGTAATAGAAAAAAATATGGAAGGAGATGTAAAAAAAAAAGACTTATTTTACAGTAGATCATCCCTGGTTCAAAGAAAACTCTAAAAAAACAAAAAAAAAGTAAAAACAAAAAAAAGAGAAAAAAATACTTACCTTACACCAAGCTTCCATCCTGTTGCTGTAGTGAAGTCACTTGGAATGCTGAAAATCCCAAATCCTTCTACAATGTCCTCCTGTGCAGTGCTGAAGCATCTTCTTCATCCCGCGGTGAGTTCCAGTCCTCAGCTTTCCCAGGATGCCGCGGTGAGTTCCAGTCCTCAGCTGTCCCAGGATCCCGCGGAGAGTTCCAGTCCTCAGCTTTCCCAGGATCCCGCGGTGAGTTCCAGTCCTCAGCTGTCCCAGGATCCCGCGGAGAGTTCCAGTCCTCAGCTTTCCCAGGATCCCGCGGAGAGTTCCAGTCCTCAGCTTTCCCAGGATCCCGCGGAGAGTTCCAGTCCTCAGCTTTCCCAGGATCCCGCGGTGAGTTCCAGTGCTGTCAAAAGTGCCCGCAGCAAGAAGATGGAAACCTTGGGGGCTGATTTTAAAATCTTCTGCCCAACGTATAGCTGGGCGCATGTCATTTTCATTCCTGCCACTAGATGGCGCTGATGAGCATAGGAATTCCCTCTGCTCCATCTGGTGGCTAGAGTGGTGTATAGGAAGTATTTATTTTAATTTTTCCTAAATTTTTTTTGCTCTTATTTAGTGACGGTACTGTTGTAAATAAAGTTTTTTTTGCTTAATGTTTTTCATCTAGTGCTAGTAGTGTAAGAAAAATATTTTTCACTTGTCTTCGTTTTTCTTTTTATTTCATCTAGTGGTTGTAGTGGTGCAAGGAAAGTATTTTTTTTTAATGTTTCTAATTTTTTTTTTTATTTCATTAAGTGGCAGTCACTGTGTAAGGAAATATTTTTTTTATTTTTCTTAATTTTTTTGTTTTCATCTAGTGGCAGTTGTATTTTTTTTAAAACTGTTCTAATTTTTTTTAATTTAATTTAGGTGTGAGGAAAGTATTTTTTTTTTTTAGTGGCAGTAGTGGT